AAAAAAAAAAAAAAAAAAAAAAAAAAAAAAAAAAAAAAAAAAAGACTGGAGGATAGAAACTTCTTCCAAGAGCTTCCAAAAGTGGGGTGGACCTTCATCTCGTGCAGTGGGGGAAGGGGGAAGGGAGAAAATAGGATTCATCGATATAATCCGTTTACAAGAAAGGGTGAAGATGTCTTGAAACTAACCCGAGTAAGAGCTGGAAACTGGTGTCGTGTGGTTGATTTATCTCCTAGAAAGGGAAGGACTACAGGGCAGAAAGCTTCTTGTAAGATCATAAATTACCCCAGAGACCAGGAAGGATACAATCTAGTGCCAAGGGAAGTTTTGGGTCTTTGTTTTCCTTCTTTTTTTCCCGAAAAAGCGATAAATAATTTCATTGAAAAATCAATTACCAGGGTCAATTCAGCTCAACCAGTGCTGAAGCTGAAATTCCTTGGGTTCACAGAAACTTACACCAGAAACATTCTCTTTGGGTTTTTTTTGTTTTGTTTTGTTTTTTAAAGTGATAAGCTTTAGGATTTAGATGCTTGGGAGTAAGGAGTCTTCAGCCAGCCAGGCGTGCAGTCACATCTGTGCGGGAGGAGGCAGGGGGAAGGTAGACGAGCCATGGGGAGCATGAGCTTTGGAGTAGGATAGATCTGCGATTAGAAGCCAGCCTGCAACACACCAGCTCTGCAACCTTGGGGAAGTTACTTAACCTTTCTGATCTTCATGTTTCCTAGCCTTAAAATGAGAACAGGAGTTTCTACTTCATGTATGGTTATTGTGAGGATTCAATGAAATAATGCGTTGTCTGGCCCATACAGGCACTTAATAAATACCAATAATAAAGAGTAAATAAAGTAGTGTTGACTCCCAGACGCTCCATCAGGAAGTCAGTAGGGTGCTCAGGTCATGTAGAGAGCCCAGTAACTAACACATAGGAGGCACTTAGTAAAACTTTACTCAGTGAATTGAGTAAATAAATGCAGGGTGCCTGGTTTTATGACTTTGAACCCTTGTATCAAAAGGGAATTAATGAGGTGATGACAGGTGTCTGCAGTGGCTTTGTCTACATCTACGTTTTTGTTTATGTTTTGAATGAGAATGAGTGGTATGCTGACCAGATTTGCCAAAATAGCCTGAACTTGGGATGGATAGCTAATATACTGGATTTGGAAAGACTTTGACAGCTTAAATTATGCTATGTCTAACTATGCAGAATATTTTCTTTCTAAATATGTTTTCTGATTATTAAATTAATACAAATTTATTGTAGGAAATTTGGAAAGAAGGTTTCTTAAAAACCCACGCGTAATTGCCGTACTCTGAACTCTTATTAACGTTTTGGTGTATATTCTTCTAGGGAACAACTCCAAATAGGAATCAAACCACACATGATGTTCTGTAACCAAACAGGGTACAATTAATAAATGGCATTACAACATTGTCAGGAACCTGGGATGTTATTACGGCTGGGCAAAGCCTGGTTTCCTCAGTGATCTCAGGACAAATTACCTCACATCTCTGCCTCAGTTGGTCTCATTAAAATGAGATGATACCCATACGTGTATTGATAAACAAGATAGTTCACGTATGTACTTAGCATGCTGTCTGGTGTATAGTAACTACTCTGTTTATATCAAAGACATGGCATTGTAGACTCTTAGGGCCAGATAGACCCTAGAGATCATTTTGCAATAATCCCTTCCTTTTATGGTTGTGGGAACAGAGACTTAGGAAAGTGACTTGTTTAATGTAGCGCAGCTAATTTTTAGTAGATCCAGATATTTCCTTCCTCCCTCTCTGCTCAAATGCCACCTCATGAAGCATTGGTTCCTTGCTTCCCTTCCCCTTGCCCATAGGCCATGTTTGTATGTCTTTTTTGTGTGCTCCCATAGCCTTTGTACTCTTACATACCTCTTCTATACTACAAATATAGGTTTGGATTTCGGGTTTTATACTTTTGTCTCTTCCACTAGACTGTGACTTCTTCAAGGGCTTGGCTGATCTTTCAACTTTGTATCTTTAGAACTAAGCTACTTGACATCTTCTGAATGAATGTGTTCCGGATGCTGGGGGGGGAAAGCTAACAAGTAGTAGAAGCAGGTCCAGATGGTGGAAAGGGATAATTCCATTGTGTCATTCATTCACCTTACAAGTATTTGCTGAGCACTTACATTGTGCCAGATACGGTCTTGTGCAGGGGATTCAGTGCTGTGTGAGACAGACTTGTCCCTTTATGGAGTTTACAATGTAATGGGGAACACAGACCCCAAACAACGAGTTACATGCTATGCTTATTATTGTGGTGAGGGCTACAAAGGAATGTAAGGGTGAGCCAAAAACAGGGAGATTAGGCTTGACTGGGTGGAGAGAGGCCAAGAAAGGCTCTTCCAATGATGGAATAGGTAAGCCTCCATATAACGATAAGTGCATGCAAGTTAGCTAGCCAGAGGGAGGGTTGGAGTCCTGGGTATGGGAATAGCATGTGCAAAAGTCCAGAAGAAGGAAGGAGTGTGGTACATTCTAGGAATTTAAGGAAGACCAGGGTGGCAGAGGGTAGAGCAGAAGCTGGTGAGATGAGCAGAGGCCTGGCCTCTGAAGGGCTTCGTAGATCATATTACCAATATTTTATTTTAGCCTAAGAGCAATAGAAAATCTGTCTAATAATGTGATTAACTCTTGAGTATTTGCTATTAGACAGACATTGACATAGGAATAAATGGTGATAATAGATCTAAAGTGTGTGTCCTGTTTGGGATATTTAGTCCAGAGAAGAAGGAAAAAGGAGTAATATATGATAAATGAAGGAAGGTTATGTACAAGAGGAAGTAAGCTTGTTTTGTGTTGCTGCAGAAAACATACCTCGGTCTAGTAGGTAAATGTTTAAGGAGGCGAATTATGCCTGAAAGTCAGAAACAGCTTCATAATCCCTAGAATTGGTCAGGAACAGAACAGGCTGCCTAGTGGGATGGAAGAGGTGTGCAGGCAGAAGCTGTAAGGCCACCTGCCACTGAATCTGAAATAGGAACTCCATGCAAGGTGGGAGTGACCTTTAGGCCGTTTTGGGCTCCAAGAGCCTGTGCATTTATAAATCATGTGAAATCTTTAAATTTCATACTGTCTTGCAAATGATGCAGCAGACCTGAAACTTGACTTCATCTCTTTCTTTAATCTGAAAATTCATAAACTTGGGACTTTTAAAAAATAAATTTGTAAAATGAAGCAGATCAGTACTTTATTAATATTAAGTATTTGAAATTGTATTTATTGAACTACTTGGATAACTTTGGTGTTATCAACACCATACTCTAACCATGAATTACTTAAACAATGGAATCCTTTGATTGCCAGGAACAAAGAACCGTTGTTATTGGTAGGTTGGTCCAAACCTCATAGTCATGGCTAAAGCAAGCTGATGTGTAAACGGAAGTCATTGTTTCAAGCAAAGAGGAAAATAACATATTCCCAGAGAAACCAAAACTCCAGAATAACAAGCACTGGCTACTCAGGGGATACTCTTCTATTCATGTGTAAATTGAAAGAGAAGGCCAAAGAAAGTAGAGGAATTGGATGTTTTCTTCTAAGAGAAGTTTGGATATCCTGCATTTAACCACATTCATGTTATGGAAATAAGGAACAGGCAAGAAATACCTAGTGGTGAAGGTACTAGTGGTGTAGCTTGTAATCCATGATCAGGTGGTGATTCAAAAGGCAAGAAAGGCTGGAAATAATTGTGGTAGGAGTGATGGATGGAGCAGCATTCTCATTTGGAATGGGAACGGTGAGTAGGAATTGTCTCCAGACCATCTGAATCTGGAGGAGCAGCTTGAGGGAGAGGATGACAGAGATCCATGCACTAGGGTACAGCCGTAATGAAGGTTTCCGCTTCCTGGGCATAAGCTAGGAAGTGGCATCCCACTCATTTCTCTTTCCTGTCTGGTCTCTGTAGTGCTTTGTTGGTAGAGAGAAAAGACTCATTTTCCCCCTGCCCCTCTTGTCGTGTAAATGGGTTTCTAGGGCTGCGGATTGGCTTAGCATGCACACTTCACAAGGAGGGATGTCGCTTCCCTTAAAACAGACTCCATTGGTTAACATTCAGCTTGAAAATTGTTTCTCGCTTCTTGATCCTCACCATCATCTTGGCTGATTTAACAGTTAAGATAGATGGTGAGGTCTGGTAGATGAGTGAGCTGAGATTTTTTATTTTTTTTAATTTTTATTTTTTTTACTTTTGGAAAAGGCTGAGTCAAAGAATCTGATTGCAGACCCTAAACTGTTGCTTGACATATGGGGCATAATGATCTCTGCAGGAAGAGATGCAATTCTGTGGGCAGTCAGGCTTCACTCTGAGGTCTGTCTTCATGGACTAATGCATCTCTTGTTGATTTTTCCTTTTGGGAACAACGCAGCAAGCAAAGGCTACCAAAAGAAAATACCAGACGTCCAGTGAGGCTCCCCCAGCAAAACGGAGGAATGAGGCATTATTTCTCCCAACCAAGAAAACTTGTGTTAAAGAAACTCAAATGAATTTTAAAGGAAAGGCACAAAAAACATTTTCTCCAAAGAAGTACTCGGCTAGCACAAGTGACAGAAACCAAGAGGAGAAACCATGCATTAAGACTTCATCATTGTTTAAAAACAACCCTGAAATTCCGGAACTCCACAGGTATGTCCAGGTGCAGATGCACTTCAGGAATAAAAGGAATGAAGTGTGCTCTACCTTTTTTTTGTTAATGTTGGAACTGATGCCTAGGTTTTTGTTCATCATTTGCAGACCTGTAGTAAAGCAGGTGCAAGAAAAAGTGTTTACTTCAGATGCCTTTCATGAACTGGGCCTCCACCCACATTTAGTAAGTATCTCTCTGTTTTATGTTTTTCTTTCTTTGATGTGTTTGTTCACTCAGAATGTCTGTGAAAGGATAGTTCTAGGAAAAGAAATGGAAAAGTGTTTATTTCTGCTCCGTGTTACCTGAATGAACTCTGATTGATAGGATACTCTTCTAGGACAATTCAGATGTGCTTAGGTTACTAACCCCACCCACCCCCATACCCCATACCTTCCTTTTTTTTTTTTTTTTTTAAAAAGAATTGAAGACTTTCTTCACCTGGCACAGTTTAGAACTGGCACTTATTGGACTTAAAACAGCTTCCTAATTACTGGATAGATGTGGTGTTGAAGCCATATTTGTGATGGCAGATGTCTCAGTGACCATAGGAGAGGGAACTGAGCTGGCGTCTTACTGTTAATAGACATTTGCAGTTTTAGAGAATTGAAGGAAGAAGAATCTATTTTAATATGCTTTTTCTGTAAACAAATGGATGATTTTTTTTTTTTTTTACCATGAATGGGTTTTCCAGACTTGTGATTAAAGAGAGAAAAAATATTAACTTTTAGGAAGTCTTGATTTCTTTGATCATAGCTTACTTACCCCTTCTTTAAGGTGGGTTACATAAGCTTGTTTTCTCAGCTACAGGTTAGATAGAGCAGGGTTTCTCAACCTTGGTGCAGTGGACATTTAGAGCGAAATAACTTTGTTTTGGGGACAGTCCTGTGCATTGTAGGATGTTTAACAGCATCCCCGGCTTCTACTCACTAGCTGCCAACAGCACCTTCTCCCCCAGTTGAAACAACCAAAAATTTCTATAGACATTGCCACATGTCCCCTTGCGGGTGGGCAGAATCACCCCCAATTGAGAACCCCTGGGTTGGAGGATCTTAATTTGGTCATGGTAATAATCTGTGTCATCCCAATATTTTCTCCTTTTTTGTGTCATTTCCATTTAGAATTTTTGTATCAAAAAATTGATAGTTATAGGAAAATATTTATTTTTCATCTTTTCTTTTAGATTTCCACAATAAATATGGTATTAAAAATGTCTAGTATGACCAGGTAAGAGTTCCACGCTAATCTCGATTTTCTTGGGGCTTAAGTGGGTATAATCAGACGAAATCTGAATTGTCTGTGGAAGGCAGAGTAAGTTTGTGTTTTGGCGTTAGAAGACAATGCAAAGCTATTGACCACAGAGGGCTTCACATATCCTTTAGCCACTCGATTTCCCCACCTGTTAAATGCAGAGACTGGGTTTCTATCCAGTTCTGTTCCAAGATGTCTGGTCTAGAAGATGGTCTGCATAAGGTCCACTGTTGTCTGTGCTTCTCTGAAAGTAGTTTGGCCAAAATATGGAATTTGATCATGTCAGTTCTTAGTAATAAGAATTAGAATCAACCAAAAAGATAGGAGTAAATAAAAATTGGACATAAAAAATATTTTAAATGTTTGTGCTAGTGATGACTCCTGGAAAATAGAAATAGAGAAGGAAAGAGTGTGGGGGGGAGATGAACTTCCTCATTTTGAGTATGTATGCTTCTGTACATTTTAGTCATAAAAATTAATAGGAACTTTGAAGAATAAACTAAGGAGCTCCCTTCATTAACTAAATTTAAATGATTTCTGTATCATTTTTTGTTGGTTGTCTTTAAATACACATGAAGACACATATTTCAGTGTCTGTGGCAGTTTACTGGAGGATGGATAGCCGCTGCTGGCTTATCTGGATAGCTTGCAGGCTTCCTTTTGCTATTCTGCATGGAATTCTTTCCGTTATGTTTTTCCATGTTCTCTATTACCTGTTACAGGAGGCAAGAGAGTTTTGATACACTTTTTTTGTGGTAACTCTAATATGTTGTCATACCTGTCCAATTTTAGGCGCACCATCCAGTGCGCCACCGGGCCGGCCCTGTTGGTTGTCTTTAAATACACATGAAGACACATATTTCAGTGTCTGTGGCAGTTTACTGGAGGATGGATAGCCGCTGCTGGCTTATCTGGATAGCTTGCAGGCTTCCTTTTGCTATTCTGCATGGAATCCTTTCCGTTATGTTTTTCCATGTTCTCTATTACCTGTTACAGGAGGCAAGAGAGTTTTGATACACTTTTTTTGTGGTAACTCTAATATGTTGTCATACCTGTCCAATTTTAATAAACATTAGTTTAATAGAATGGCCAATCTCTGTCTTGCCTCACCATTTTCAGCTAAATTCCAGAAATTTAAGGTTTTATTTTTCTAATCATCCCAAGTTTCTCAGCGCCTTCATTTGAATGTCTGGATAACATCCAAGGTGGCATTTGGAAGACAAATTAAAATGTGGGGCAATTGCATTTTGTATATCCTGTGTCTCTGCCTGTAAACATAACTGGGTGATACGTTATAGATAAGATGTGTTCTTTCTTTTGGGTGGCCCAAGAGTTCAGAAGCAAAGTATTCCTACATTGCTGGAAGGCAGAGATGCTCTTGTGCGATCCCAGACGGGTTCAGGTCAGTCATTTAATCTCTGCCCTTCTTCCTAGGTACCCAGGCCCATGGTCATGCAACAGCTTATGTACTGAGGTGTCTGCGGTGGTGATGGTAGCTGCTTTGTTTTGTTTGGGGGAAGGAAACCATGCTTGCTTTTGATTAGAGCCCTGAATTTGTTCACGTAGTGAAAGGAAGGGGATACTTGATGGTGCCATGATCAGCAATGATTAGTTCTGCTGTCATTTCCTTGGATCCTATTTGAGGGCTTTGCTGAGTCCCAGTGTCTATGGCCATAGCTGCCCATCCTCACTTTAGTGAGGAATGAATTTTTCTTCTGGTATTGCAACACAGAGTTCTGGCATGAGCACACACTGATCGGATGCCAGTCCCTGTGCTTGAGCACAGAATACTGTGCCATGTTCCAGGCCAGTCTGGGCTTGTTCTTCTCACCCCCTTGTGCCGTCAATAGCAGCTAGTCTCCACTCACACCACTTTGGTCACCATCCAGTTGGGTGGAAACCCAAAGATTTTGCTATCCTTTGGTTTCTCAGTCCTTAGAAGGTAGCTTTAGGGTTCAGACTGGCTCCTAATCACATCAGCATTGCAGAGAACATTTCATTGAGCACTGAAGCTCGTCTGAGACGTTAAGGGGGACTTCAGAGGAGAAATTTTCTAGAAATTTTCTTTTGCAGACAACCGTCAAGTTGAGCTTTTGTGTGATTTCTGAAATGTATCATTATCTCTCATTGGATGGATAAAGGAGCTGAAGCTTCAGGTTTTTTAGAAGTACTGAATTCACAAAGCTAAATTAGGAGTTGTGGTAAACAGGTGAAGTCCTTTTTCACCTCTCTAGGTTGTATGATGTGCAGTTTATCTTTCCCCGGAATTTAGTAGTGCCCAAAGATAGCAAATCCTGTTTTCTTTATGGCCTTTGCTTTTCTCACATCTGCAGGGCCTGTGGTTTTAACAGCTTTTGCATTTTTTTAAAAGGTAAAACTCTTGCCTATTGCATCCCTATGGTCCAGTCCCTTCAAGCAATGAAGTCAAAAATACAAGTGAGTATAATGTGTTTTATGTTGTTCATAGTGCATAAGCAACCATCAAACCGAACCATAGCAGTAATGTTAGGACCAAAAGAATCTGTTTTTATTTAGCATTGTTTTCTTCCCTCTTTTTAATTCATTTATTACATAAACTTGTTGTATCCAAAGACTGTGCCCAGAGTGGAATAGAATATACTTCACAATCATCATAGTAAGAATAACAGGGAACATTTGCAAAATACTCCCCAGGAGTTAGATGTTGTGCCAAATGCTTTGTATGTATTATCTTCTTGAATCTCTAACCACCCTGAGCCCTACCAAATTGTAGGCGTTACTGTTATCCCAATTTCACAAAGAGAAACAGATGCTTGGGAAAGTTAAATAACCAAGGCCAATGCAACAAATAATGGTGGAACTGGATTTCCACCTCAGTTCTATTTGGCTCAAGAGATCAAGCGCTTTACTCTGTGCCATGATTTTATGGTGAAGGTTAATTACTGCCTCCTGTGCTATACAGGGACCGTATCTCTGTGTCTTCAACAGTACCTATCATGGGTCCTCCTACAAAATTATCACTCAGTAAATATCTCAAAATGATTTAATTTGCTGCTATCCATTTATGCTCGTATCTTGGGTCTGTTTTGTAAATCATGTAAAGAGTTAGATTTCAATTTTCTATCCTAAATTCCAGTGTGTTGTTTACTTTTGACCAGGAAGGCTGAACTTTATATTTAAAACAGTGGTTTATCATGAATGGTATATGTGAAAATAAGCACCCAGTCAATAGTTTGACAATTGTGCTTCCTTGTATTTTTTTTTTTTTTTATAAAGATGACCGGTAAAGGGGATCTTAACCCTTGACTTGGTGTTGTCAGCACCACGCTCATCCAGTGAGCTAACTGGCCATCCCTATATGGGATCCGAACCCGTGGCCTTCATGTTATCAGCACCACACTCTCCCAAGTGAGCCACGGGCCGGCCCCTGTGCTTCCTTGTATTTAACATTATTTAGAATTTCTTTAGTTTTGAAACATATTAGTTAGTGCCTGGGCCAACGGGGCCAAAATTGGGTTCCCTAGGAGGCCAGTTAACTGCTGTGACTTCAAACCCCAGCCCAGAATCCCACAAATATAGTCCTTGTTATTCTCAGTTGGAAGGAAATGGTGAGCCCTGAAATAGGAAGTTAGGGAAGTGCATAAAAGATGACGAGAAGAGTGCATTGATTACTGTTTCTCTGTTTAGATAGGCAGAATTAGAAGTGTGTCAAGCCTACCTGGTTATTTGAGTAACAGAATAAGTAATGATAGTAGGCTAAAACAAACATCTATGAATTCAAACTGATATAAATAAACGAATAGATAAATAAATGGGGGAGGAGGAAAAGCCCTTCCTTATGGCAGAAGTCCAATAAATAAACGTAGAAGTGATAGATATATAGTATCACCAGTTGGCAAATGCCGCAGTAATATTGTTTCAGGCAAGAATTATCATAGAAGCTGAAATGAGTGAATGAAAATGTGATGAAAATGGAATATTTACATAATCTCAAGGTATCTCCGTACAAAGTACTTCTTAATTACAAAAGGAAGACAGGGCTGGCCGGTTAGCTCAGCTGGTTAGAGCACAGTATTGTAACACCAAGGTCAAGGTTTCGGATCCCCATATTGGCCAGCCACCAAAAAAAAAAAACTAAAAAGAGGCCCCAAAAAAGGGAAAACTGTAATTTTACAGTGGGGAAGCCCGGCTATCACCACCTTCACCAAGTGATCAACATTGGTATCACCAGTTCTGGGAGCCTCCTGATACGGTGCACTGGGAAGGCCACATCACTTCTGTGGTCAAAGCAAAATGCATAACCTGGATTTAATCATAAGGAGACACTAGACAGAAATCTAGGGACATCCTACAAAATAACTGGCCAGTAGTTCTCAGAAGTGTTAAGGTCATAAAAGAACGAACTACTAAAGAACTACCTCAGATTGAAGGAGATGTGACAACAAAATTCATGTGGTCCTGGCAATCAAACATTAACAGGTCAGTTGATGAAGTTAGAATAGGTTGATAGATTAATTAATAGTATTGAATCAATGTTACCTTCCTTATTTTTTTTTTTTTTCCTTTTTGTCTTTTTTTACTGACCGGCAACGGGATCGCAACCCTCGGTGTTGCGCCTGCACCGCGCTCAGCCAGTGAGCAGGAACCGGTCTCCACATGGGATCCGAACCCTCGGCAGGAGCGCCACCGTGCTCCCAAGCGGCGCACTCTCCCGTGCGCCACCGGGCCGGCCCGTTACCTTCCTTATTTTTTTTTTTTTTCCTTTTTGTCTTTTTTTACTGACCGGCAACGGGATCGCAACCCTCGGTGTTGCGCCTGCACCGCGCTCAGCCAGTGAGCAGGAACCGGTCTCCACATGGGATCCGAACCCTCGGCAGGAGCGCCACCGTGCTCCCAAGCGGCGCACTCTCCCGTGCGCCACCGGGCCGGCCCGTTACCTTCCTTATTTTGACAATTATACTATATTATGGTTTTGATAATTGATAACATGGGGAAGCTGAGAGGAGGGTACATGAGAATTCCTTATATTATTTTTGCAATTTCTTTTGCTTGAAAGTATTTCAAAATGAATAGTATAAAAAAATTTTAAATTGTTTTTTTAGAAACCCTAGATAGCCATTAAAAGTATTGTTTTTTCAGTTACTATTGGAACTTGAGCAAGTGTTCTTGTCATGATAATTCAAAAAGGAAAGTTTCAAAACAGTATGTATGGTATGACTCCATTTTCATAAATAATAATAATCTGTGTGGATATTTGCGTTAAAAGACTAAATGATACTTAGCAAGCTATTAATATTGTTTTTTTCCTGAGGTGGGTAAGTGAGGAATTTAATTTCTTAAAGGTAGCTGACTTTTTCCCCCATCTAGCACTTTATAGTGAGATAATTTATGTAAAGTGCTTAGCATTGTCCCTGGTACATAGAGAGGAGTAAATGTAAATTATTGCAATCGTACAGTAAAGTCTCATCTACTTATATACTCCAGGGGAACTTCTTGCCAGTGGAGGGTTTTTTCCCTTTTACCAGGTTGAAGAGTTAGGGAGTATTGAGCTGGAATGGTTCCTACAGATCTGGCCCAGCGCTCTCATTTTGTAGATCCATGAACTGAGGATGAGAGAGATTAGATGACAGACACAGCTGGTGCTCTACTCAAATCCTGGGCCTGAGTGTAACTTCCGGCAAATCACTTCGTCTCTCAGTGCTTCGTTGTCTTCGCCTGTGGCACAGGGACAACAGCAGTGCCTCTCTCCTTGGGTTACAATGAGGATTAAGTGAGCTAATGCATGTGAAGTGGTGGGACCTGGTATCTAGAACCCGGGAATCGCGTGTGCACAAGCTCGTTATATTTTAGCTGTCATCAGTAGCAGCAGCAACATGGTCACGTGGCTACTTTGAAGAGCAATGATATTTGCTTATATTTAGAACCATTAGTGAGCTATGTAGTTGTTTATTTGCTCAAATATTTTTAATAGGACTGACAGGTCATTCTATTAAAGACTGAAATATTCTGTAGAGACACAGTTTTCCAAGCCTCAGTTTAATTCACTTGTTTCAAGTAATATTCAATATAGTCCCTTAGACTTCATTGTAAAATGATTTGACCTGTAAAAAACTTATCTGGAAGGAGCAGCAAATTCATGGCACCCAACAGATTCTCAAATTACTTTGGTGATGGGATAAGAGTGGACTGCTTTTCTGTGTTCTCTTAGTTATTTTGGCTCTGATTTTTTTAACATCACATCCATCCTCCTTCACTTACTTGTGCCCTGCGAGGAATTGATTTTTCTTTCTTCTTCTGTGTGTAGTAACACCTTTTGAAATGTCAGAATCTCCTAACGTCACACGGTGGCATGTTGATACTGTTGTACTAACATGTTTACTGTTCCTACCTTGGGCTTCAGTGTAGTCTCACAAAGTTGATGTTGAGTACAGATGACTCCAGTTTGAATTCCAAATCCTTTTCTCTTTGTGGGTAAATGTTTTCTATCTAAAACGTGAAAACCATACTTGTAATTGAATTTACTGCTAAATCTGTGGTTACCTTGTGCACTAACACTGTTTTGATTCATTCATTCGTTTGAGCACTTTTGATGTGCAAGGCACCATTGATATATCTATCTTTAAAAAATTTTAAACAGTGCCAAAATATAAATAGGGAAAAATAAATTATTCTACTTCCACTTTCCCCTAGTGACGTAGTTTGGCTCTCAAGATCAAGAGTTGTTATTACCTGTCTCTTTTTTATCCCCGAGGGATATTCTTTGCATATCCAGCAAATATGAGTGAGCGCAGTTCCTCTTCTCCCTTTTATTTGAAGTTTTTTGTTTGTTTTTCTGTTTTGTTTGGTTTGATACACAAGTGGTTGCTTGTTATGCCTGATGTTCTGTACCTTGCTTTTGTTCCTTTAATGTATTTTGGGGATGGTTTCTTATCAGTACCATACTGAGCTGCCTTGTACTTTTTAATGGCTGCCTAGTATTCCATTGTATGTATATACCATAAGTTACTGAATCATTCCCTTAGGGTTGGTGGAATTTACATTATGTTCAGTATTTTGCTATAAACAAAATTATTTTATTTTAATAAAATACAGTCTACGAAATATTCTACAACTTCTGTATGCACACATATGTATCTGTAGGAGAATTTCATATAAGTGGAATTTGCATTTTTATTTTGGTAGATAATTCCAAAGTTGACCTTTAAAGGCATTATACCAATAGGTATTTCCATCAGCAGTATACAAGGGTTTCTGTTTGCCCATGCCCACATCTACACTATCAGCTGTTTTACTTTTTGCTCATTTGATGAGAAAAATACTATATTGTAGTTTCAATTTGAATTTCTCTTAGTAATAAAGTTGAACATCTTTTCATACAGCCATATCTTGAATTCCTATTTCCACAAATTAACTATTTCTGTCCTTTATCCATTTTTCTATTTGAGTTGTTGGTCTTTTCTTTTTTTAATTGAATTATGGGACTTCATTATAAGCTAAGGAAATTAGCTCTTTCTCTTAGGTGTGGCATAGTTTTTCCTCAGGTTGTCATTTGACTCTTGATTTTGTTAGGTATTACTTTTCCATTCTGAAATTTTAAATTTTTATGTAATAACATTTATCAGTGTTTTCTTTTCTGGTTTCTGAATTTTGTGTCATTTGTGAGAAGGCCAACTTTATTACCGCTTTATTTTTCTGACTTTATTTTTTTCTCCAGGGACTTTTTGAATAATCCATCTTTCCCTACTGATATAGAATGGCCCTTATATTATTTTTTAAATTTCTGTATGTATTTGATTCCATTGTAGACTCTATTTGCTTGTGGTCTCTATTTATGTACCAGTATAATTTTTTTTAAGTTGCTGTAGCTTTAAATAATTTTAACAGCTGATATGTTTTTCATAAATGTCTTGGTTATTCTCGCATATTTATTTTTCTATATGAACTTTAAAATCAGCTTTTCTGTTTATATGTATTATGTATATGCATAAATGCATGTATATACATATTTGTGGCATTTTTTGTTAGAATTGCATTACATTTATGGATTGATTTAGGGAAGAATTAGCTTATTTATAATACTATGTCTTCTTATCTAAGAATAGGGTACATCTTTCCATTTGTTCAAATTTTATTTTATGTCCTGCACAGGTGTTTTAAAATTTTCTTCATATAGGGCTGGCCCGGTGGCGCACTGGAGAGTGCGCCGCCTGGGAGCACAGCGGCGCTCCCGCCGAGGGTTCGGATCCCATGTGGAGACTGGTTCCTGCTCACTGGTTGAGCGTGGTGCGGGCGCAACGCCGAGGGTTGCGATCCCGTTGCTGGTCCCCGGTGTGGGCGTGACACCGAGGGTTGCGATCCCGTTGCTGGTCAGTAAAAAAGATAAAAAGGAAAAAAAAATTTTCTTCATATAGATTTTGTATTTTTTTTTTTTTTTTTTTTTTTTTTTTTTTTTTT